ACAAGGAAGGGCATAGAATCAGTCGTGGGCATGATGGAGTCATCCTCCCCAGCCAACCTCAGATGGACGTCGACAGGGATGGAAAACTCTCGCCTAAAGTATTCTAGCTTAGTCGGGGTGTCTACCTTATGCCTCCACATACCCATGATGTCGGCTTAAATGAAAGGTGTGAAACTTCAGAAGGAAATGTTTTGTGATGATTTTGAATGACCTCGGCTAAAACAAAAGGGGGAATACGTTTCAGTTTTTCCTAAATATACGAGGGTGTCACAAACAAATCCTAAACCTAGATCTATGGAAATGAAGATTGAAGGCACGAATCTGGAAAAAAAACACAGAAAACAGAAAAGGCAGAATGTGTTTCAGGATCAAGAAACAATGATGAACTATCAAAAACACTATTAGTGCAAGGGTATCTGCTTTACTTGTTTCTCGTAATCCGCCGTAACGTCGGCCACCCCCTCATTTTATCCCTTCTCGTCGGCGGCCTTGACTTCGGCTTCTTTTGTGGCCAGGGCTTCTTAAAGTTCCTTCTGGGCCTCGGTCATCTTTTCCTCGGCCTCTCTCTTTTCTGCCTCGAGAACCTTCTTGATGGCCTCAGCGGATTCTGCTTTCCTTAGCTTTGATAGCAGCCTCGCCTTGATCCTCCAAGGTCTTCATCTTTGATTGCAAGTTTTTATTAGTCTTCTATAGACTAGCAGCCTCCCTCTTTTTGTCGATTAGCTCATTTCGATTCGCAAAAGCTTGCATTAAGAAAGAATGAGCATGCTGGATGGCCTGAAAGTGAACAGAGAAGATGTTATTAGAAAATTTTAAATAAGAAAAAAAAGGAAGAAAAATACCAAAACCCACAAAATATATATATATATATATATATATATATATAACAGTAAGTAATATATAAAAGGGAAAAAATGAAATTAAAAAGAAAAGAAAAGGAAATAAAGCAGCCTAAGAGACAAAGGGAAGGAAAAAAAGGAAATCAGCAAAGAAAGAGAAGAAAGAAACGTGAGAGCAAGAGACTGAGAGAGAGAGATAGAGATAACGAGAGCGAGAGAGAAGAGTGAGAGAGATAGAGAGAACAAGAGCGAGAGAAGAGGAGCAGAGAGAACGAGAGTGAGAGAGATAGAGAGAACGAGAGCTAGAGAGAGAGAAACCTGTTGCGCTATGGTTGATCGAGACAGAGGTAGAGCGACTAGAGTTCTTCCTTGCCAGATTTTTGCTTCAATGCTTCTTGGACTTGTGGATTTGAGGTTAGGATTTTTTCTTCTCACCATTTGATTTTTTCTTGTTTTTGGCTCATCACATACCTGTGGATTTCAAGGAGTCTGATGTCTAATTCGTAATATTTTCAATTTAAGTTTACATTTTTTATGGTTTACCCACAAAAAGTTTTGAATATTACATTTTCTGCCCTGCCGTACCCAAAAAGTATATGAAACGTATCTAGCACGAATCTATGCGTATCTGAAATTCAAAAAATTAAAAAAAAATAAATTCGGATACTCTTTTGCTGTATCCTATACGTATTTTGGTGTATCAGATGTGCATCTGTATCTGATACTCGTACGGTGCCTATTTTGGAGTATCCGTGTTTCATAGGTTATGGCACATGTATAACCTTAGAAAAAGTCAAAATAGTCACATCAAACATGGAAAGGAGTACTATCCCTACACCAACAACTTTGCTCTTTGTATAGTTAGCCATGCTGACAGTACCCGTCACTTACCTAATATGTAGGAAAGTGTTCTAACCTTACACATGTCCAATGATCATCTGTACCTGGAGAAATTGTAACCCTTTCTAATTAGTGTCTACGATTGGTCTTTAGTCTTATCTACCTTCTACTTTGCACAATTCCTCTTTAGATGACATTGATCACAGAAAGAACACGTCTATGAAGCACCGACACTTCAAATTAAATGTCATAGCCATGTCAAACACATATGGGACACAAACAAGGTAGGGACACATATGGGACATGACATGTGGTGTGTCCATTTTCTTAATACACATCAGGGACATGTGGGGACGCATGGAGACATGGTGGACACAATAGGGTCTTATTTTAATTTTTAAAAGCTAATTACTGGGCAAGGGGGAGGGGAAAAGGGGGTTTTTGTAATTGATGAAAATGTGCCTTTTGATTGG